TTTTTGTTTAATTTAATAGCTTTTACATATTAAAAGACTGAATCGGCTTTATACCTCCATCCAGCATAGTGGCACCCTTCATCGTTGTAGGTACTCCATCCCCAGCAGCAGTCCGCCCCCTGAGGTAGAAACGGTAGTGGCTCTTATGGTCCAGGTTCTTCAGGGTGATGTGGGTGACTGTGGGGTCATCTATTGTCTCCACCTGCATGGGGCTGTCATCACTCTCTGTAACTGACCACAGCAGTGCCAAAAAAAACATTTAATCACCACATGTATGGATAATGTATTGTTCATGGTGACAAGTAACTGACTGATAAGCTCATTAGGATGCTTTCCTTTTCACATTTTTAGCACTATTGATTTCACTGCAGATGCATTGCTCATTTTTCCGATGTCTGATTGCAGCATAGAAGAACTTCCAACTTGAAGGATTTTACTCAATGTTCACTTTGCTGGCAAGGTTGAAATAGACACATGCTCACTCTGTTGGTACTGCAGCAGATATCCAATAAGCACTCCATTGGGCTGGCCAGGAGGTGTCCAGTGGAGGGTCATTTCTGTTTCTGATGGGCTGTCTAGGGTCAGGGTCAAGGGAGGACCAGGGACTAGCAGAAATACAAAAAATGCATGATGATAATGTACTTAGTAATATCTATCATCACATCACTCTATCATCACCCCTTGCTACCAGTCTCATTTCTTTTTTCTTCATGCATATAGTTCTCCCTCTCCCTTTGCAATGTTTCTTGACCTCTTATTTTTATCATCTGCAATAAAACATCTTTAACCACTTTGTCATCACTTCTCCCTTTTCAAGCCTCTTTAACCCAATTATTCTCACCTCCCTCTGGAGTCTCAAAGGGCAGCGCCTCAGAGAAGGGTCCTTCTCCCTTTATGTTGTACACAGTCACCTTAAGGGTGTAGTTGGAGAACGGCCTCAGATCACTGATCACTTTCTTCTTCTCGTTGGGCTCCGTTTTCACCACCACAGTGCTTTCTAACTCTTGTGCCCTGCGGCCTCGGTGGTGGCTCCTATGCACTTTCCTGGTATAGTGGATCTGGCAAAAGAGGACATCACAAATGAGGATTTATTTTTTCATTTATATTTGGAAAATTACAGTTTATCTCAATTGCTCAGGCACATTTCTTTGAACAGTTTTGAAGTTACTGAACCTGAAGATGAATCTCCCAAAACAGCTCAGTTTGGCAGGATAACAAATGATAAACATCCTCTGTTCTTTCTTGTTATTTCAGGCTGCTACTGTTACAAGTCACCACAGTGGATCATCTCCCTTTATCTCATCGTATCCTTACCACCCTCTTCATATCCTTCTTCACCTCATCCTTGGTGGTCTTCCTCTTTTTTTCCTGCCTGGCAGCTTTATTTAATAAATCCACTCCTTTCTCTGCACATGTCCTCACTATCTCAGTCTTTCCTCTCTAGCTTTGTGTCCAAACCTGAGCCGTTGCTCTGATGTTCTCATTTCTAACCC